AAAAAATCATTCCAGTAATTAATGATTTTTCCTTCATTGAAAAATTAATTAATGAGAGTCAATGGATCAAAGGACAAAAGAGTGATAATCGAATAGATCCAGAAAAGCTTTTAGACAAAACTACATTCCTTCATTGATAGGAGCGCTCAAGCCAGCAGTAGAAGGAGTCTTATTTACCTTGATCAGAGGTTGATTCTGAAAGTCCTACAGCTATCATCATAAATCAGGAGCTATAAGCACTGTATTCTACTCTCACTGTTTGTATCAGACATATATGGAGAATTAGGCAAAACAATGAAAAACAAAAGAAAGAAGAATAGATACCCAAATGGTCAAGGAAGTAAATCTGTTGTGATCATAGAACGCTGAGCCTCTTGATGCCAGTCCTGATGACCTGATTTTGGTCCCCAGGGCTTGCATGTTGGAAGTCCCCAGAGAAGCACCTCCCTCAAATTGTTCTGATACTCACCTACATGTCTGGCATGTGTGTGCGCACACACACACACACCACACAAAAATAAATCATTAAATAAACAGATGTAATGTTTAAAGATGTGTCAGAATTTAAAAGCCGTGAGAACCAACACCAGTTTTAGCTGCTGAGTTTTGTAGTTCAGGAGCAGCATAGAGTCATCATTTGTACCTCGGACAGCCGAAGTGAACCAAACAAACACGAAATTTTAGAAAGACATTTTAATTGTATCAAAAAAAAAAAAAGAAAGTAAAATAATCTCAGTACTCGGGAGGCAGAGGCAAGCAGATCTCTGTGAGTTCAAAGTCAGCCTGGTTTACAGAGCGAATTCCAGGATAGGCTCCAAAGCTACAAAGAGAAACCCTGTCTTGAAAGATAAAACAAACAAACAAACAAAAAACAACAGTAAAATACTTAAATTTAATGGTTGAGGGTATAACTCATTGGTAGAACATGTATTAGGTTACAAAGCATGTGTTAGGTTAAATATCAGGACATGGTGGTGCACGCCTTTAATCCCAGAACTCAGGGAGTCAGAAGTAAATGGATCTCTGTAAGTTCAAGATCAACCTAGTCTACATAACAAGTTTCAAACCAGCCAGGGCTACAAAATGAGGCATTGTCTTTAAAGTAAATGAATAAATGAATAGATAGATAGATGATAGATAGATAGATAGATAGATAGATAGATAGATAGACAGACAGATAGATAGATGATAGAGATAGATAGATAGATAGATAGATAGATAGATAGATAGATAGATAGATAGATAGATAGATAGATAGATAGATAGATAGAGATAGATAGATAATTGTTGCTTTAGTTGTACCAGCCACACTTCATTTGTGCCACAGCCACATGTGACTGGTGCCCAGAGCACAGCCTGGCACAGACACAGGCCATTCCCAGCATCATGGAGAGTCCACTAGATACTGAAGATTTAGGGACGAGATCCCCTCCCTGGGGCGCCTGGCAAGGGTGCCACTGCAGATGAATGGAGAGAAGATAGTCTTTGCACTAAATGGTCTTGAGACTGTTAAAAGCCATTTTCAAGAAGGGGGGAAGAGTATTCTTGATTCCTACTTCTTTTCATAGACAAAAATCAGTCCCACATGGGTTTCAAAATCAAATATAAGAGAAGAGTGTTGGATCTTCACCAACGGAACCTTTCCAGTGGCAGGCGCGGAGGAAGTACCAAAAAGAGGCCAATTCCTGTGGCTACGTAATAATCTCAGTGTCACGTTTTGTGGAGACATTTTATCAGACTGGACATGTTTGAATTAAAAGGAGCCAGAAGTGAGAGTAACATACTGCATACTCTGTTCACACTGAGTTCAAAAGCAGACAGAAGCGTCTTTGCTGTGCAGAGTTAAGTAGCAGCTGCCTTGGAGTGAGGAGGGAGCATCTGGAGGCCCTGCCTGGGTCCTGCAGCCCTGGCGATGTTCAGCCTCTTGTGCACCAAGCTGTGCACCTGTGATGTTGTGTTTCTCTCCAGGGTTGTAAAAAGGTGTCTGTAAGAACCCTTCTTTGACATACACACACACACACACACACACACACACACACACACACACACACACACGGTTCTTGCTGATTGCATCCTTCACGAAGATGCTTTTTCAAGAATGTTTTCTCAAGGATTTTTAGTTGATCCAGGACTCAGAGGAATGAGGATGTTACTGATAGGAGGGCCATTGGTTTGATGGATAAACATAGACCCTGTAAGTAGTCATTTCTAGACACAGACCCCAGAGAAACCCCATCCCTTGTGCAGACAACAGTACTCACTGTGGATAAGCAATAACAGACCCTAAATCAGACAGCTTGGGAACACTGACAGAGACATCAATTGACAAGAGGTAGTGTTTGGTATAGTAAAGTTAAGCAGTGAAGAGGAACATATGCACTTACATAATTATAAAACTCTAAAGAGGGAATGATAGTTACAGAATATGTATAATAGCACACGTGTATGGTGTGAATATGTATAGTAACACACGTGTGTAAGATATAAAACAACACTGTGTATACTCTTTGGTACACCCACATGACCCTGAGCTTTGAAATGGCTGGAGGATGCGTGCAAGCCATAGCAGCAACAGCAGGTGGAACAATGGGGAAAAAAGAGCTGAATGAGGGGGACAGAGGAAGCTACAACATGATCTGTTGTCCAGCTTCTTTCCTCAGAGAAGCTGGAGTGAGGCTGGTGACGGCTCACTGGGTATAGGCACCTGCTGCCAGAACTGCCCACCCAAGTTCAGTCCCCTGGGCCCATGTAAAGAAAGGGGGCAGGGGAATGAGTCTTTCGAGTTGTTCTCTGACCTCCACATACCACAGTGACACGTGTGCACACACTCACACTGACACCCACATGCACATAAGTGCACACAAAATAAATAAAATGTAATAGAAGTCTCTGAAATAAGTGTGGCAAAATACTAACTTCTGTTCACTCTAGATAGAGTGTTAGTAGTCTTTGACCTCTTCGTTCAGTCACTCAATATGTGAAAAATAAAGCTGAGATAATAGTATCATTCATCATTTAGCCTTAGACTTGTTGTTTAGGTATTTTCTGTTCCTGTTTGTTTTAAGAAAAAAAATGTATATAAAAGTAAGTATGGCAGAGATAGCTGTTTCCTTTCTTTTGTTTATGTTCACCAAAACATGCTTGTTTTGTTTAACATCCGAAATGTTTGCTATCGAAATGGGGCCTTTATACAAACCTGTGAGGGGTGAGATGAGAGGATTACAGTTTTAGCACAGCCCGTGGGCCATGAACCCACATCCTGTACTATACATCCCCACCATCTATACATCCAGCACTAGGAGCATCCGTTTGTGTTACAGCCAAAACATTTGCAGGCAAAGAACCAAGCAATCAGAAAAGGTTTTCCTTATGGGTGCTTACTAAGATCTAAGCCACTGATGTGTACTCGATCCATTCCCAGACTCAAAAGACTGACAAGGGTTAGGACTCCCACCTTTTCCATGGCCCGAAGAGCCTGTGCCAACCGCTGCCTTGAATCCAGCAAGCCCTGAAGCTCTGGAGGGACACAGCACACAGAGTTGCTGCTGTTCACCTAGCCGGGTTTTGAACTTCCACCTCCCTTTCACCACCTTGGTGGAGTGTGCACTTGGTTGTTTTAGTTTCGTTGGGAAGTGCGGGAGCCTTGAACATGCTGGGCACATGTCTGCAGCTGAGCCGCATCTCCAGGCCTGTTCAGTTTAGTTGTTTTGAGTTTGCATTTTTATAGACATAACCATACATGGTGACAATTACTCACTAGGCTGGCAACCTGTTTAGTAACCTTCTGAAGCACCCCCACCCCCGGACAATTGCCTTGACCGTATTTGGAAAGTTAACAAACAAATGTAAGCTTAAAACAGACTAAATATTATACAGTGAGGTCCAAAGCAGAAGCTTATAAATATGTAAATATACACTCATAGCCATGAGTCCACCCATCCCCTGCCCTCAGGGGTCAACCAATGTCCTCAGCTAAAGTTGCACTTGACTTTACATAGCACATTCCTCTCGGCGGCAGGTGAGAGTAGAAGTTAGCCTAGAAGAAGAGACTGAGCGTGCTCAGCTTGAGACTCTTTCCAGGTCTAAGTTCAGAGCCAGCGCATGTGCCGGGTATAAGTAAGCAGTCTGCCATCACTGTGTGCTCTAAGAGAACCCTGAGCCTGTCCAGCAAGCTCAGTGGTGGTGGCTGAGGAAGCCAAGGGTCAATTATTAGCAATTCTTTCCACGGTGACCTGAAGCCGTGCCTCTGTAGGTGATTTATCAGTCCCAAAGGTGATAGTTTAGGTCCGTCTATCTGTCCTCTGTCTCTTAACTGGTTCTAAACTCGAGTATTAATGTCTGTTCCCTCAGAAGCTTGATCAATTGCTGAAAGACCTTAAAATGATAAATTAATATAATCCATGCTCTCTCCTAAGTATGGTTGATATAACCATACTTATTCTGTTGGATAGTTAAAAGTACTGCTCAACAAATTTTAAATTTCATGAATGGTTTAAAAATAAATGTATCCTTGGTTTTTGCACTGTGTTTAACCTCTCCTGGCTTGAGAGAGACATGCTGCAATAAAATGTGCATTTATAATTTGATATGCTATGTGCAAAGATACAAGCATTCACAGAAAATGTATTTCCCTTAAACAGTTAAGAGTAAAGAGAACACGCACATGTGTGCGCACACACAACGCCCAGCTCAGTTGCTGTAACAGACACTGCTCTGCCCATGGCCTCTGTGTCTTGGCGAGAAGCAGTGATTTTAAGGATGGATTAGTCTTCTAATCTCTTTGGGGTTTCCTTTATATTTGTGGTGGTTTATGACTGACATCTAATGTAACTATACTTTCTGTTTATATTTAATAAAAGATTCGTTTCTGTGGCAGGGCACTCATTTGTGCTCTGGCGTTGAACAAAAGCTACTGTTCGGCAAGAAGGGTATAAAATGTTGATTTATAATGACACGGGCCAATAACAGCCGTCTAATTCTTCCAAACTGTTTCTCCCCAGGTCCTGGCGAGAACATGGCTGCAAAAAAGAACGATTCTTTTCCATCCGAATATTCTCCCTTCAACACATCGATCCATGCTGGGATTAGATACAAAAACTGGAAACTCCTTACCGGCTACCCAGGTAGACTGCTTAGCTCTCTTCCCACAGCTGCCAGAGCAGGGGCCGTGCCCCCAGTCTCTCTGTCCTCTTGGGACTTCATTCTCTGGGCTATTTCCCTAGAAAGGGAGGGAGGTCCTCATCACTGCCATCTAAGCCCTTCTCTTCCTTCCCTGGCTCCTCAAGGCTCCCTGCCAAACCCCCTCAGTTTGCTCAGACATCTGAAATGCTAACCAGGCCGTCAGATCTTTCATGCTCCCAGCAGATCTTAAGAAAGCAGCTATCTGCTTGGGGTTTCGTGGCCTCTGTCTGGTCAGAATTGCACAACTTCTGCTGTTGTCACGGTCTAAGCAGTCCCTCCCCCAGAAAGAACGGCAAGGGAAAGCTCACCAAAATTGTGACTGCCTTTTTAAAAAATATCATAAAATGTTCTTACTGAGTCTGCAGAGTGGAGGAATGGCTTCAGCTGCTCAAACCAAACTTCCTCTGAGTTTTGGTTTTATGTTTTGTTTTTTAATTATTCGTAGTAGGGGCAAGAGGAGAAAATCTTATTTGAATACTTCATAGACATGGATTTCAGACATGTGTGACTTTCAAACATAGCACACCTAGCTCTAGCCGAGACTCTCCACCAATGCTGTGTTTGCTTCTGTTACCCGATTCTCAGAAAGGGACACACACGCATATTTTCACAGGCTCTGATGCAATTCAGCTATGCTTAGCTTATGCTTGAGTGTTCGAGACAAATCTAGAATCAACACAAAGAGACGTGGGGGTTTGGGGGTTTTGTTTTGATTTTTTTATATGACCATACCTACAGCCAGGGCAGCCTTGTCCCCCAGATGCCTTGAAATTAGAACCCACGAACAGTGCTTCTCCCCCCTGAAGTGTCATGTCTTTTTCCAGGCTGTGGTCATTGGATCCCGCCTCCGTCTCAATCCAATGTTGCTGAGATCCGTTCACTGGACTCATCAACCAAGACTGTCTGGCTGTTTGATATCGATCAGGACCCCGAAGAAAAACACGATCTGTCCCAGAAGCATCCCCACATCGTCCTGAAGCTCCTTTCCCGCCTCCAGTACTACCACGAGCACTCTGTGCCTTCCTTCTTCCCACCCATGGACCCCCGCTGTGATCCCAAGGACACTGGTGTGTGGAGCCCCTGGATGTAGGGCTGCGGGGGGGGGGGGGGGGGGGGGGGGGGGGGGGGGGGGGGGGGGGGGGGGGGGGGGGGGGGGGGGGGGGGGGGGGGGGGCTGGAGCGCATTTGTGGGCAGGCTGGACCTCAGGTCCCTACTCTACTGGCTTTTCTGAAAGTCATCCAGCCCCCTCACCTGGCCCTCAGGCTACATAATCCACCAAAGGAGTTCAGTTTCAACCCACGGTACATTTTAAAAAGCCAGTAAAAATCTGGACGGATCCTGCTGTTGGCTGGAGTTAGTGTCTGGAGGCCAGGGTGGCTGGGTTCATCCTGCTTCCTAAACTCCAGTCGCTGGGAACTTGACATAGGAAGCTATCCCTGAGTCCCTGAGGCCAGAGCAGCTGGCTCTTTTTGCTTCACAAGTCGATCATTAGAATTCCCTCTGCTAATAACCAGTTTTATTGGCAAGACACATGCCTTGTAACAAAGGCGGGGAGCAGATGATTGCTAGTGATTCTGTTGGCCGTGAGAGCTCCGTGCCTCTGAGATCTCCTTCAGCTTTTCCAGATCCATGACCCACAGGCCACCACTCACTGACTCACCTCACTGTGGAGCATAAAGCCCATTGTAATAAGCCAGCACGGAGGATGGCTGTGTCTTGGCTTAGGTTTCCACTATCACTAAATACGTTTTTTCTCCTACTTCCCCCACCCACTGTTGCTCATTCTGTCACCCCAGCTTGTGTGGCTCTGTTTCTGTTATGACTTTGGACTTCACTGTCCTTTGTCTGATGACACTCTCCCTTCCACTCTGAGCATCCTGAGCTCTGGGACAGTCCCAAGCCCTGCCCAGAGGAGGTGGACTGGTCATTCCGTGACCATGCTTGTGGGAGTTGTGGGTCCGTGGCATCTGCTAAGCAGGTCTATTCCAGCTGCATGGAATCCAGCAAGAATGTGGCTGTATCTCCCAGTACGCAATGATCTGTGCTGTTTTCTCAAGCAGTGGGAAGAAGAGCCAGGAAAGCACTTTCACTCTGAGGTGATGGAAGGGGCAGTTTGAGAAAGGGGCTGACCAATGTCTGGTATGTTTGTTGGCCTTAGTAAAGCAGGGAGTCATCATCCCTATTCCTCTCGTTCTCTATTTCACTGCCTCATACTGGGGTTCTGGGGTTAAAGAATGAGGATGCACTATTTGACCTTCAATCTTTTCTCAGAACCTCTTATATCCTACCAATGTGACTCCATCCAGATTAGCCTCAGAGAGTGTCAAACCCAGATAGACACAAAACTGCTTCTCATCAGCACTGTTGCCTTGTTATCACCAATGCCCGCGGCAGGGCCGGGGATATAATAGGCACTCGGTATATTTTTTTTTAAATGAGTGAATGAACCGAATAAACGGGAAAGACTCACCATGAATGATCCTAGTCAAGTGAGCTGACTCTAAGGGCAGTGTAAATACCCTCTAGTCCTTACTAGTCTGCCCTTAAGCTGTCCCCTCTGCCCTGGTGAGAGCATGGACTGCACATCTGGAGCACATCTGGACAGTCTCTGGCCCTGCATGGCAGGACTGTGATGTCCTGTCCAGGGAGACACAAGAGAATTATTTTTCCTAGTTATTCTCTGTTGACAACAATCTCCATTTCCATTTTTCGTTGAACACAAGAAATTAAAACCATCGAATCAAATGATATAGGTCCTCGTGTACAGCCACCTTCAGTTCATAGCAGTATTTCCTGGTCATTAATAATCTGAATTTTTTGTGATAAAACTATTGCAAGAAAGTGGTGCTAAGGCTAATGACATCTTTTACCAACCTTTACTCATCTGGGCTGGCTAATAGCTGACCACCAGGCCACCTCTTACTCCAGAGCAATGACAGCGATGACTCTGGATGCTCCTTCTGTCCCACAGCTGTTGGTGGCTGTTAGTCTTCTGAGACCGAAGGTTTTTACTTCACAACACCTAGTTGAATTTTCCTTATTATTCTCTGAGCAGCTACCCTCAGTTCTAGCTCTTGGGCTATCTTGATCGTGGGCTATCTTGGGAATGTTAGCATATGAATGGATTAAAGAAGACTTTCAGACAGTCGTGTTAAAAAAATGGCTGGAGATTCTGTTTAATCAGATAGAATGGCATGAGTCTGAGGATCTATCTCCTTAGATTTATAACTATCTTTAGGAATATTAATGTTAGTTCTTTCTAATGTGTCTGCCTTTAAAGAAGGTTTTGTTTATTAATGTGCAAACTCATCCCTTTGTTACCACATGACTGTTTCAGATTTGAGTGACAAAATAAAGTTGATCTTTCTAAAACTGTGTGAGCGTGGGGCCTTAGCTTGTGATGGTTGAAAGTTCAGGAACTCAGCAGCGGTGGTAGGTGAATGGGTCATGATGGACCCAGTGGGCTACCAGTAAGGTGGTGGAAAAGGCAGATTGTGTGTAATAGAGGCATTGCCACATTTTTTCTTATTTCCCAGTTTTATATTATGTGAAGTGTATCTCAACACATCTGTTACACAAATAAGAACAAATATATCAGAGATTTTTTTTAAAATGTGTTAGTCTCAGTGAGACTGCTCAGAGGATAAATCACTTACCATGCACACCCAACGACCTGAGCTTGGCTCCAGGACCCATGTAAGGGTGGAAAGAAAGAACTCTTCCATAGACTTGTCCTCTGACATGCATGCCCTGTCATAAACATCCCCAACATCATAGGCACAGACACAGTAATAATAAACACTTTAAAGTGAAAAACAAGTGAGACATTGCCCTAAGAACATACATCATGGGGCTCAGGGTAAGAGTGCATGAGGCCCTGGTTCAGTCCTGAGCACCACAGAAAAGGAAGGTTCACTACTAAGATCAGAGAGGCATTAGTGAAGGGCATAAGAACGGTGCTGATGGAGCATGGTAGTGTTTTATTGCTGGCCAAGAAATGATCCCAAAATTTAGCCACCAAAACAACAAACATTTCTTGCACAAATGCATAAAGGTGAGGACTCAGAGTGTTTTATCTGCGGGCTCTGCTTCAGGGTCTTTCATGAGTCAGCAGTCCAGCAGTTGAGCAGAGATCATCCGAGGCTTGGATGTGATTGGCAGATTCATTCTGAGATGCCTCGTGGCCTGGCTGTGACCAGAAGCTTGACTTCCTTGCCATGTGGGCATCAGTGGTGACTATGAAAATGTCCTTACAGGGCAGGAAATCTAGAGAAGGGGCAACAGGCAGGGAGCTTTGACGCCTTTTGTGACCTAGTCTTCAAAATTGTACACAGTCACTTCTGCCTTTTTATATGCATGCTAACTATCTCTTAATCAAGGTCATGCTCAGGAGAAGGAGCCCACTTTTGCAGAGACTGTTGGGTCTGTACTTGTGTTTCACTGCAGTGGACACGGTTGTCCAGTCAAACTGACATGCACTTACCACGTGCTGCTACTCGAAGAGAGTGGCAGGAAAAGATTCTAGCTTTATTTTAGTGGTAGAACAACCAAGAGCAAACCATTTAGTCATGCCAGTTCCTCAGTTTCCCCTTCCAGTAAGGAGATGGCTGGATTAAGCAATCCCAACATGCAATCTTTGTCCAAACATAAAATTATTAAAACAAGAAAACGAAGGAATCATTCTGTCTTTAAAAATATGTGTGTGTACGTGTGTCTATGTGTGTGTGTGTGTGTGTGTGTGTACATGAATATATACATATGAGTGCCAGAGAAACCGAAAGAGGATGTGAGGTCACCTACCTTTGGTGCTAGGAACTGAACCTGGGTTCTCTAGAAGATCTGTAAGTGCTTTCGACAGCTGGACCATCTCTCTAGACCCATTTTATATCTTTTTTCCCCCTTTTTTACAAGATTCATCTGAGGAATGGCTCAAGTACCCATTAACATATAACTGGGTAATAAAACATGATGTATACAAAATGGAACATTCCCCGGTTACAGAAAGTAGTGGAGTTTTCATACATTCTATAATTTGTATTAACTTGAAAAACATTATGATAGGTGAAAGGCATTGAGCATGAAGGACAATACTGCATGATCCCACTGCAGTATTATTAAGGACAGGAGACTGCAGGGCCGGTAAGATGGCTCAGTAAGTAAAGGCACTTGCTGCTGAGGCTGATGACCAAAGTTCCACACAGTGGAAGGAGGGAGCTCCATCCTGTGCCCTTCCTGCACTCTAGCACATGCTAAATAAATAAATGTAAAGGAAAGTTTTTAAAGAATAGACAAATTCATATAGAAAAAGCAATAATACTCGAATGTAACATGTAAAGACCCAGGTGTAAAGACAGATACTACTCAGGTCTTGGGGAAGCAGAGACTGGGAAGATATTGCCCAGTACAGTGGAGACAGAGTTTCTGAAGATGTTTTAGAAGTAGGTGGGGATTTCAGCTTCCTAAGACCATGGATATAACCAGTACTATTGAATCAGTTACTGTGGTGGCTGATCTTATCGACCTCCTTAGACTGAAAGACTGGTAAAGTGGTGTAGCTGAAGGCATTTCCAGAAAGTCTCTACTAAAGGGGAAAGCCTGCATTGTGTGGGTGGAGCCATCCCTGAAGTCGCAGGTCTGGATGGAGTAAAGGTCGGAAGGGGGCCACCCGCTAGCACAGGCGTGTGCATTTTCTGTGTCCTGTCGCCATGAGGTGAGCAGTTTCTGCCTCATTCTCCCACTACCAGGGCGGGCGCTCTGCCTCACCACAGACCCAGGATCAATGGAGCCGAGGGCTGTAGACTGAAACCTTAAAATCATAAGTCAACATAAGTAAGTCCCCTCCAAGCTGTCCTCGGGTATCTGACAGAGACAGGACCAACAGAAAAGCTTCATGTCGTGTGTGTATGTATTATCACAATATAAATAGATAGGAGAGGGGAGTGCGCCAGAGTTCCAGAACTGAGTCATGGAGAGAGAAGCAAATATCAGCAGGAGAAAAGACTCGCTGGGTGGGTCTGGGGCTTTGTGGGCCTGGAGTTCTGTGTGCTTGGGGCTCCATGGGCCTGGGGCTCTATGGGTCTGGGACTGAGTTCTGTGGACCTGGGACTCTGTGGGTCTGGGACTCTATGGACGTGGAGCTCCGTGGGCCAGAGTTGTGGGCCTGGGGCTCCCGAAGCCTCCTCAATAAAAACAGCTGCACCCCTGCCTCATATGCAGGTGAGATTTCTAAGTGATTGATTAACTGATGGTGACGGACGTCAACATAGTGGTTCTTTTTTGGGGTGGGAATGCTTTGGGGTTCAGATGCTGACCTTAGTCTCCTCATAGGTATATGCAAGTGTAGACACTCACCAAGATACACTGATACACACACTTATGGAGTGTATCTTATATCCACTTATACAGTTCTTTCAAACAAAAGCAAAGTGCTTGTCCTTTGAACAGAACAAGGACCGCTTGTTTATCTTTTTGATAAACAAAGTGGGACTGTAAATACTGACGCACAAACACAACATTTTCAGTGTTATGGGAAAACACCTTATGTTTTAACTTATCTTATTTTTAATCACGTCTTTGTGGGGTGGAGTGTGCACATGAGTGCAAGTGCTCGTAGGGGCGGAAAGAGGGCGCCAGGTCCCCTGGAGCTAGAATCACAGGCAGATGTGAGCTGCCCACGCTAAGCTCCTGTATAAGGGCAGCAAGTACTGCTCTAACCACTGGGTCATCTTTCCAAGCCTCGAAGCTAATTTTAATTCTTCAAAATGTTATTTTGTGTTTGGGGTTGCAGGGCACATGGGTGTCCATTCCATGAAGTGTGAAAGTCGGAGGACAACCTTCAGGAGTTAGTTCTCAACTTCTGTCGCATGGAACTTTGGGGGGGGGGGTACTGAACTCAGGTCAACAGGATCGGCTGCAAGCACTGCACCAAGCTGTCTTGTTGGCCTACGTTATCCTAAAGCGTTTACCACCCTGTGTGATGGGCTAGACACGTGCTAGTAGGTACAGACACCAGGGGGCGACACAAACGACCCCGACAGCATGGCCCTGAGAGACTGGCAGTCTAACTGCGCTACAGTGATCTTTCTAGTGTGGCTGGTTTTTTGTTTTTTTTTTTTTTTTAAACAATATCCCAGCAATATGTGGGCTACATAAGGTGATGAGTTCTGCCTTTTATAGAAACTAAAGGAGCTTTAAAATCTAGGTTTTTGTACAAATGGTGGACTAACCATAATGTGTGTTCATAGGCTCATTTGAAAGACCCAGACTGCACACCCTGCCTTATGATTCCTAAGGGTGGGTGGAATCAAACCAGATGGCAGCGGGCATATGACTTTCACCTTTGCCCTATTTTCATGAAAGCCACCCCCAGGATGGCACAAACACAGGAGGGAAGAAAGGACACTGCAGTCCTTGGTTCCATCGGTTCATCAGAGGGGTGTTTCACTCTCAAAGGAACTTGCTAAAGCAACTGTGTTGACTGGTTTTTACGTCACCCTGATGCAAACTCGGGTCATCTGAGAGAAGGGGGCCTCAGCTGAGAAAATGCCCCATAAGATCAGGCTGCAGACCAGCCTGTGGGGTAGTGGGTCTCAACCTCCCTAATGCAGTTTAATAGAGTTTAATACCCTTTAATACAGTTCCTCATGTTGTCGTGACCCCAACCCTAACGTCATTTCCATTGCTACTTCGTAACTGTAATCCTGCTACTGTTAGGAATCGAAATGTAAATATCTGATATGTGACCCCTGTGACAGGGTCATTAGACTCTCAAAGAGGCCACAACCCACAGGTTGAGAACCACAGCCCATTGTGAGTGGTGCCATCCTGGGCTGGTTGGTGGTCCTGTGTTGGGAGCAGTGAGACCCCAGATCCTGAATTTCTTGTAATCCCCTGATCTGAGTGCCTACAGCTGCTCTGAGCACGAGACCTTCAGGAGTTCCTGATGGCAGGAGAGTGATTTCTGGTGGGTTTGGCTGGGGCGTGGCTATCTCTATATAATCTGCCCCTGAACACAATAAAGAGGGCATTCAAACCACATGGATATCAAATAAATCCTTAGGCTCTCATCGTCTGTGGAGACAAAAACAACCTCCTTTCCAAAACATCAAATTCTTAAGCCCATATTTTAAAGTCAAGATACCTTTCTTAGTAGTTCCTAGAATCAAATGTCTTTCTCCAGTCCAGAGCACAAAAGACAACACTATCAACATATCATACATCTGTACACATTTATCTTTTTAAGCTATATACATTCTTTCTATCTTTTCCCAATACATACGTCCCCTCCGGCCGGGGACAACCCTGTTCATTTACCCCTCTTTCTCGGTTGACTTCCACTTGCTGCCAAACCGAGCGAAGGACGTCAGGATTAACAC